ATCAATAAAACTTTTAACCAATATTTCTCCTTAAATTTTCTCTCTCATGTTCTTTGTGTTCATCTTGATCGAGTGTGTGCGTTGTTGAGCAATTCTAACAACTGGCATCAGAGTGAAGCAAAATTCACCGCGATCTGTGAAGATGAAAATTTCAAAGATTGAAATTGAAAAGTTTGATGGATCCGATTTCAGTTTCTAGAAGATGCAGATTGAAGATTGTCTGTACCAGAAAGGTCTTCACAACCCCTGTTGGGGGTGAAGCCGGATACTATGACCACGAAGCAATGGAAGCTCAAGGATCGTCAGGCCTTAGGGTAGATCTAGTTGACACTATCCAGAAACGTGGTGTTCAACATCATCAAAGAGAAGACAACGTCAGATCTGTTGAAGGTACTGTCGAATATGTACGAGAAACCGTCGATTATGAACAAGGTGTATTTGATGCGGAGGCTGTTCAATCTACAAATGTCAGAAGGTAGATTTGTTGCTGATCATATAAACGAATTTAATATGATTGTAAGTCAACTGAGTTTGGTGAAAATTAATTTCGAAGATGAAATTAAGGCATTGATTGATGTCATCTTTACCCGAGTCGTGGGATACTGTTGTTGTCGCGATCAACAATTCACGAGAGTTTGAGAAGCTGAAGTTCGATGAAGTCGAAGATGTAGTTCTCAGCGAAAGTATTCACGAACGAGAAATTGGAGATTCACATGGCAGTACTCTCAGTGTTGACCAAAGGGGAAGAAGCAAATCAAAGAAGAAGAAAAATGTCACTTTTGGACAGATTGTACAAGACCAAAGAGGAAGTAGAATCACAAATCAGATGATGATGATGATTCTATACATTCAGCAGAAGACAATGGGGATACTCTAATCCTCAACGTGGACAATCCGATTGAATCCTGAATTTTGAATTCAGGTGTATCTTTCCATCCGTCTCCAAATAAAGAGTTGTTTCAAAATTTCAGGTCTGAAAATTTCGAGAAGGCATATTTGGCCAACAACAAAGCTTTGGATATTGATGGAAAATGAGATGTCTGTATAAAAACAACCACATGAAATTCGTGGACATTAAAGAATGTCAAATATATTCCTGGTCTCAAGAAGAACCTAATCTCTATTGGTCAGTTGGATAGCACAGGCTATGCAACAGAGTTTGGAAAGAGTTTGTAGAAGATTATGAAAGGTGCTATGGTGGTAGCACGTGGCACAAAATCTGGAGCCTTATATACCACTGCAAGGTGTACGGAAAATAGTTTAATTAGCCTCAATGGATGGGTGTTAACTGGCCTTGACTTCAGACGATAAGTGCAATTAGCCAAGAAGTGTTGGTTGACCTTGGCCAACAAATATTGGTCAACTTCAATTTGTCTTTTGACACTTGTCGTTAGTTGGTATCATTTTCCCTTCGGGAAAGTGGAATTCACGTCCATGTGGTGACCTCCCAAGAATGATGTGTCGCGATTGCCAGCAATAGGCGGACAGATTCCAACCTTGCCACCGGCGCGAATACCTCTTCGAAGTTCACTCTTTGCTTTTGGACGTAGCACTTCGCCACCAAATGGGCCTTGTGTTTCACAACTTCTCCCTCTTCGTTAAGCTTCAGTTTGAAGACCCATTTGAGCCCTATGGCTCAGTGTCCCAGCGACATGTTCTCTAGACTCCACATCTTGTTTTTAGTGATGGATGTCATCTCTTCCTGCATTGCCTTCAGTCAGCACGGGTTCTTCTCTGCTCTGGCGAAGGAGTTCGGTTCATTCGCGCTGATGGCATGCAGTTCGGCCACCTCTTCTTCAAGCTCGCGCGCCGCCAGTCTAGGTGGTTCACCTCCTCCTAGTAGGTCTTTCATCCTCTGATACCTGGTCACCAGACCATCATCATGATCGGCATCCAACGTCAAATCTGCAGTACGTGGTGTTGCGAACTCCACTAGTTCAAGGGGTGCAACCGGAGTTGTGGTTGGGGTTGGCATAGGTGTTTCTGGTGCAGCTGCTCGTGGTAGTGACGGTTCCCAATGCTACGCTCCTCCTTCTTCCGGCTTGGTGACGAGGTACTCCACCGTGAATTGATTTGAATTTTGTACGCCTCAGTCACGTCGTTCCACTGCCAGAAGGTGCTCTTGTCGAAGATGACGTCGCGCGACACGTGAGCTCCCCTCCCCCCCCCCCCCCCCCCCCCCCCCCCCCCCCCCCCCCCCCCCCCCCCCCCCCCCCCCCCCCCCCCCCCCCCCCCCCCCCCCCCCCCCCCCCCCCCCCCCCCCCCCCCCCCCCCCCCCCCCCCCCCCCCCCCCCCCCCCCCCCCCC